GTGTAAACAGCAGTTTTCTGCTTTGCTTACTGTACTGAGATTGCATAAACATAGGATACCCAAGAATAGCTTAGTATTAGTGTGTGCAAGGCCAGCAGCCTTATTATACGGAGCACGATGGGTACAGGCTGTCAGTAATGAACTAGAGCACTGTGGTAAATAGAGATAAGAGTATGCAGGCATTAAGACGAGGGATGTCCATGTAAAAAACACTTGAAATGTAATATATAATGTCTTCAAGCCGTATTTTCCAACAACAGAAACACCAACACAGACCACACACGGTACAGAAATATACACCTTAATTCAACACCGCCTGGCTGCCTCCAATACAATCCCACCATCCCACCCCGAGTACCACAGAGAAAGGTAGAGAGAGACAAAGGCAGACACAGGCGGATAGCATCACGAAGCGACCCGAGAAGCCACGAGGCATCGGGGCCTCATTCAGTGTTTCTTTATTATCCGAAGCCTGGCACAGTGACTAAACGGTTAGCTCCCACTGAGGGCGGCAGGCTGCGGCCCCACGCAGAGCCACAGTGACACCTGGTGGTCACACCATGTAGTGGCTTTTATTTCTCCCCTCGAGTATCCAGGGAAAGTAAAGGACGCAGTCATTCACATTCATGCATTCACACGCTCATACTGGGAGCTGCTCAGTGCACACCTGCAGTCTGCTACCGGAAGATGTTGGGAAACATTTTTGAGGGAAACCAACATGTTTGGCTGTGAAACCAGCATTCATCAGGAGGTTTATAAAGGTTTATGAGTGGGTGTTCCCAATATTTGTTATGCTGTATTTAACGTTTCAACACTCTCTTCATCACAGCATGATAAAATAGCATAACACCAAAGATACATTTAGGAAACTAAGAAGGCCCTGCATGCAACAGCCTTGACAACAACCATCTACCAGGTCCAGAACCTCCCTTTCCATTAAATAAAAAAGCCTCCAAGTGATGGGTCACCCAGTATTACTCAAATTAACATAATCATTGTATCATCATTACATATTTTAAAAAGCCAGCAGTCATTGTAAGTGTGAGTCGGCTATGAACCCCAGTTTACGGCGTCTAATCCGATTGTATACCCATGAGCCCCTTTCCAACATGTGACATGAGCATCATACTACTTCTTCCATTGGAGCTGAATGTTGGCATTAGACACAGCTGTGTCCTCCAGAATGATCCAACAAGACATTGATTATAAGAAAAACGGATTGATTACAACAAAAAAAAATTTGAGAGAAAATACAAAAAAAATCATACAATGGTTCGTATGATATCTTAAGAAAAGTTACTGCTCGTTTTCTACTAAAGTTCAGCAACTCGTTTTAATTTCCCCTCGTTACATACGGTCTTTTCAAAATAAACTTCTCTCTTTGTAATTAACTTAGTTAGGTTCAGGCAACAAAACTACTTCGTTAGGTTTAGGTAAACATGATTGTTTGGGTTAAAATAACAAGTTACATGACAAATAAATGAACATTGACTTCTCGTGTCACACGGGGATCTGAAAGATTGCTGTTTGTTGGCCCCATCTGACTCCACTCCCTCCCGCCCTGTGTGTGCTTTAGCGGCCTTTATACTTCCTCTGCACTTTATTTTTCATCAGTATAACTATGAATGCTGGATGAGACCAGCCTGAAAATTCACATTAAAAACAACAGGCCAACAAACACCAGCATCAGATGATCAAACAGGTATAAACAAGCCGACCGTTCAACTACATTAGCTAAACCAATTTATTGTGAAGTATGTGTAACTAGAAAATACCATCAATGCTCACAACCACACTGAGTCATTGGCAGGAAGTGGGTCTGTAAACTGTGATGAATGTTTAAAACACATAATTTTCATGTTCCCTTACCTGGAGGTTAACTTGCTCTGAGAACTTCACGTTGTACTTGCCTTTAAATTTGCTGCAATTTAATTATTCATAAATATTTTTTTTACATTTTTTCTTTTTGTTTTTTTTAATTGACCGGCGAGTTCACAAAGAATGGATTGCGGTCGCTGATAGCAACATGACCTGCTCGTCATTTGCCTCGTCTTATGGTCTGACACACAAAAGATACTGCGCTAATGATATTACAGAGCAAACACATAAAGTTTGCAGTTGATTGCAATTATCCACGAGGCAAAGACTAAATGCCGAGAGCACAGTAGGCAGAACAATGGCAGTGAGACAAATTAAACAAGGAAATGTCAATGAGGTGCAGAGGCATTCCTCAAAACTTCAGGCCAGGACTTTATACGTGACAGAGAGAAACACTGTTTGGGACTGAATGCCACAGTCTGTCAGTATAAATGTGCTTTAGTTCCCACCAACTCTCTGAAGATGCTAATAATTTCACTGTAACTGCGTGTGGCTATCAGCCCTGATCTTTGTGAATTGGACTGTTTTTGCATAGAAAGAAGCCAATTTTGTGCCAAATTGAACTTGATTTAAATACATGTAAATAGCAAAGGAGCATTGAGACTCTATTTGCTTGGCAGCGCAGTTAGGGTGGCCTTTCACCCTTTGAGGTGCTTCGAGAATTACTTATTTTGAGAGTCTTATTTGTGCCGGTTTAACGTGAATTGGAGTTGTGTTTTTACAGTTCATCATCTGTAAAGGTTTTTTCAAAACTCTGGACATGCTTGAGGTTGGGTTGCATACAGTATCCACGTGTGAGTCATGCGTTGCAGCCATGATGCTAAAAGTAGAAATGAAGTTCCCAGTTTAACCGTTTTATCTGCGGTGGGAGCACCAGCAAACCCAGTCCACGCTGAACCACGAAGTAGCCCTCCAAAATCCAGCACATGTTCCTTTTTTCACTTTCAATGCCAGTTACAATAGCATACTTGTGAAAAGATAACAGAATAAAGTACCTTTAAGGTTTAAAATAGTTCAGTTTCACTCTTTTCTACACAGCTGCTCCCTCTAAATATATTTCGTGAATGCACATTTTGAACTCCGTCTCTTCTGTTTCCCCATATCTATTTTCACAGGGAGGCGTTTGAATATAATTTACAAAATAACATTGCCAGTGGCTTCTCATAAAGCCTTTGACTAAAATAAAACAAAGTCAAACTCGTTTTAATCTCCATCTGAAAAAGACATGACTGCATGTGGAAAGGAAGTAGAGAGACAGAGAGAGAGGGACAGACGGGCGGATTGTGGGCTTGGAGTTGGTGACGGAGAGAGAGAGACATCCCGAGAAAGACAGAGAGAGAGACAGAAGGGAGGATTATGGACTCATATTTAGTTAGTGAGACAGAAACAGCCAAGCAAACAGGGAGCGAAGTACAGATGAGTCACTGAGCCCCGAGACACAGTTATTGACGAGCAGAGATGGAGGGATAAAGAGAGATGGAGAGAAAATGAAAATTGAGGGGGATGTGGAGGAGGGACGGAGGGAGGGATTGGGAGGAGATTGGATGTGAAGAAGATGAGGAGAAGTCTGCAAATAGAAAGTTGAAGCCCAGATTTTCAGCTCACTGAGTACCTAAATGAGTGTGGACCGTTGATTTGTCCTTTACCGGACATGTCTTGTTTATTTCTCAATAACTTAGAGGAATATTAAAATACTTAACATATTTTGCTCTCCTCGGTGGCATCTGTGCTGTGATGAGGCTGATCCAAAGTGAAACAAGGTGGTTCCTTGACAAAAACACCTCACAATATTTATGATTTATGATTTATTCTTTTATTTGTGACTTTAATTTTGGAGAATTCATGAGTTTTGTTATTACCCTCCCCTTGTTCTGTATTATTGAAAAATATGTAAATACTGTATATTGAGCTACAATGGCCATAATACGCCGTCATAAAATATACTTTCACTCAACCACAACCACGTCTTCAGCTGCATATTAGAGTTTTCTAAATCTATCTATCTATCCGTCTATCCATCTATCTATCTATCTGTCTGTCTGTCTGTCTGTCTGTCTGTCTGTCTGTCTGTCTATCTATCCGTCTATCTATCTATCTATCTATCTATCTATCCATCTATCTATATGTCTGTCTATCCGTCTATCCGTCTATCTATCTGTCTGTCTATCTATCTATCCGTCTATCCGTCTATCTATCTGTCTGTCTATCTATCTATCTATCTATCCGTCTATCTATCTGTCTATCCGTCTATCTATCTATCTATCTGTCTATCCGTCTATCTATCTATCTATCTATCTATCTATCTATCTGTCTGTCTGTCTGTCTGTCTGTCTGTCTGTCTGTCTGTCTATCTATCCGTCTATCTATCTATCTATCTATCTATCTATCTATCTATCCGTCTATCTATCTATC